AGGAGGGTTGTCATTCACATCAGTGATGCTGACTGGTATAATTTTCTTACTGGACAGAGGAGGAGAGCCTGAGTCAGTGGCTGTTATTTCAATATCATAGTGTGAGCAGCTCTCCCTGTCTAAAGTTCCACTGGTAACCAGTGCGTAATTATTAGAAAAAGAAGGTTTCAGACTAAAGGGGAAGCCCTTGGTGAGTTGCAATGTTACTTTGCCATTATCAGCAGAATCAAGATCACGCGCACTGATCAGAGCAACTACTGTGCCACTTGGTGCGTCTTCGCGCACTGGCTTTGGCTGAGACGTGAGGACAATTTCAGGAGCGTTGTCGTTGAAATCAGTAATATCAACCTGCACGCGGCAGTGTCCCTCCATTTCAGGGCTGCCTTTATCTTTTGCAGTGACATCGATGTCAAACGACTTCACAGTTTCATAATCTAACTCCCCTTTCAGACTGATTTCACCCGTTATAGAGTTAATATCGAAGATTGACGACACAAAATCTGGAGTCCGAGAGCCGAATGAGAATTCGATTTGACCATTTAAACCTTCATCTGCATCTGTTGCTTTGGGTTTTATCACAATAGCTCCCTCCACACTTTTTTCATCCAGTGTTACTTTATAAACGTTCTTTTCAAATACTGGAAAATTATCATTTATATCAAGCACGGTTATGGTTATTTGTGACGTCCCTGATCTCACTGGATTCCCTCCATCTAATGCTGTTAGTAAGATTTTGTGAACAGCTTTCTTTTCTCGATCTAGTGGCTTTTCTAAGACAAGTTCCGGAACAGTTTTACCACCCTCTATCTCTTTGATTTTGAGGGAACAACAATCATTTTTACTAAGAGTATATGATTTAAGTGAATTGCTGCCAACGTCTGGGTCCGTTGCCCTCTCCAGAGGAAAGCGGGTGCCGACTGCTGCTGATTCTGCTATTTTTAAAGATAATTCGTTAGAAATGAAACCTGGTGAATTGTCATTAATATCTCGTATTTCTACCTCGATGCGATGTAACTGTAGCGGGTCCTCAATGACCACTTGCAGAGGTAGAACACAGCTGGCGCTTTGTCCACATAGAGCCTCTCTGTCTATTCTGTCATTCACCACCAGCTCGCCCTTCCCCGCATCCACAGTGAAATACTGCTTACCAGCCTCAGAGGCGACTCGCAGCTTACGATCAAAAATCTCAGACAGTCCCAAACCGAGATCTTTGGCTAGATTTCCTACCACAGAGCCCTGTTTTAGTTCCTCCGGGATGCTGTAACGAGTCTGTGCGTCTGTTAAACTCCACAAGAGAAAGAAATGATGCCACCAAAGCGCCAGCCATCTCCAGTCTCGGTATCCCATTGTCTTTGTCATCCCTGATTCAGAAAAATGCATCATTTCCAATCCACAGGAACAAAGAACATGAAGTCAAAATCCACATCCCAAGAGCGTGACATATTCCGTTACAAAGATGCCTGTTTATGGCCAAAAATTGAGTTAAGAATTACCATGATACCTCGATTATATACAACATTTACCTACACTCTCTCTCCCCCATTCTGAGCATTGTGGTTTTGGTGCTGAAGCTGCATGGGGGAGGGAGTAGATCTCTTTGTACAGTTCTGAATGTTATTGGTGCACAGCATCCACCTCTCACATCCAATGAGAGCAGCACCAAGCAGCGCCGTTAAAGACACACTCACCATTTGCACTCTCATGAAAGAGCGAGTGAAGCGACTGGAGGAGATGTATTTCAACATATCAACGCATCAAATAAATGAAACATTAATAATTGGATCAAGTCGATGTCTTCATTACATTAAGTGTACATTTAAGATTTAATTGTAATGACAGTATATGTGTTTTCATTTATTTGATGTCTAAATACAATCAGTCCCTTTTTACGTATCTTAGTAAAAAACAAACAAACAGTCCAGACATGAAATAGATGAAAATGGTTGAGTGGGTTAGTGATATGTTCATGGATTTCCAGTGTTACCTCCTGAGTCAGTGCCACTAACAACACGTCATTCACAGGAAGTCCACAGGTCTCATGGGTCAGAGTCGCTGTCCACCCCTGTGGTGCTGAAAGTCTGATTTCGACAAGCTATGCAGAAACTAACAGACTGTTCATTTCAAACAGCCGCTGAGTGAGGCCTTAAAACACTACGTTCACTTGACAAATGATACGCTTTAATTTTTGAAGTAAATTAAATATCCAGTAATATTTAAATAAAGCAAAAGTGTGATTTTACATTTTCATTTGACAAATATTATATTTAATTGATTAATACAACCACATATAAATGCAGTAATCTGTTTAATTGCAGAGAACGCTGCGATTTCCCTCAAACAAAGCAATTAGAATAAAATTATGTGTTTGCCATGTTCGTATTACACCATGCTCACCTGCTGGCTCTCAAAGGTCCAGGTGCTGTCCGGTAAAGACGCATCCAGGACACTGATCACTTCCTTAAAGTCAGTGGTGCTGCTGGGCTTAATCAAAGTGAAGTCACTGTACTCTGACAATGGAGACATACAGGACCTGAAGGACTGACTCTGAGACAACATGTCTCCTCCCAGGAC